TTAACAGATCGAAAGTCATTTATTGAGATCACTTGCTAATTTGATTTTATCAAGCAACTCAGACTTACAATTAAGACTATAGTAAATAATTGTGTCATCAGCATATATACTAATGACAGTAAATAAAGAACAGAGTGAGCTCTCCTTATTGCAAAAAGATCTAAAGGAAGAGCCATTCATGACAATTTTGATTGCACAGTTTGATAAGAAAAAGTGGCAATCTATGATGTCCATGCACACAAAAAATTGTAGTGTCAAAAGGATGGTGTTTCCATTGACATCATTATAACTACCTTCACTCTTCAGCAATGAGATGAGGTTCTATTTAGGACTATAAAAGGGATTGGCACAAACCATCCCTTTATCTTTTCTCACTCTGTGATGTAGTAGTGACAACATTAAACTTGTTTCTGCCAGCAAACCAGCTTTCAAATAAATCATGTAGACATCTTTATAAACAGTCTTTATACATGTAAATATAATTTTCTTATTCTCTCCTTTTGTGAGCCAGTTGTAACAAGTGGTGATTCCTCCCATTACTAACAGTTAACCAACAACAACCTTGTTCATTACAATCTTGAAACACATCTTCACTAGAAGTTTTCATGAATGTAGCAGGTCGATGATCAAATTATTTACAAAAATGTACCAAAATTGTTACCCACCAAATACTTGTCACAACAAGACTATTAGCATGAACACCCCATGATAGTGTAATGATTGACAAGCTTGTTTGATTACTATTAAGTTGTATCTTCACTTTGTACCATACAAAGTGAAGTTTTGGCCTTTAGCAAGGCCGGTGCCTCACCCCCAAAACTTTGATATGGGGCCCCACTCTGCCACATCTTGATTTCAAAATTTCCCAACCTGGGGGACACAAACCATGGAAGGAAATTTTTTTGAGAGTTCATATGGTCCAGTAGAAGCTGGACATCTTCCTGGTGTGGCCAGAGTATGAAGTTGTCATCTACGTATCTCAGCCATAGGGTTGGCCTTAGTAGTAATCATAATACCTCATCTCAGAAATATAGACAGCCTCTATTCGTTCAAAAAACTGGGAAGAGGGTGAACTGAATGATAGGTTCACCTATCTACTCCTACTGAGGGAAAAAAGTAAATAAATAGTAAATAAAACATTAGAAGTATAGAATGGAAGCAGACAGTAAGATTTGTAGCGGACCCCCGAGCGCCCCCGTATCACAAAAGGGTGATGAGGTCACAAGAGGCCTGCTAACATTTTTGAAGAAATTAAATCTGACAAGGTGAAACAACATGGATGACAGAACGAGGATATATATGATATATGCTAATTTATTCTAGAAAAGAAAATAAGGTGGTCGGAACGGTAGAGGTGCAGAAGTTCCGGTGCAGGCATTGATGGTCGAGGTTGGTCGTTACAGGTGATTGCTGTTGGGCATGCAGGTGGTCGCTGCTGGTCGTTGCAGGTGATCGCTGTAGTTGAAGTTGATGTTGGTCATTGCCGGGATGATCGCTGTTGGTTGTTGCAGTTGATGTTGGTCGTGGCCAGGATCATCGCTGTTGGTTATTGAAGTTGATGTTGGCCATGGCCGGGATGCCAACTTGACATGTTGGGAAGGAAAGAAGAGCTGGCATTGTTTGGGCATGTCAAGGGTCCAGTGCAGGCGTTGCATGTTGCCGGTTGAGTCCGATATTAGTAACCTCCCGTAATAATTACAAACGTGTACGGGAAAGGTTATGGATGACGTGCAGGCAGCCAGTAGGGACGGAATGCCGAGCATCGAACAGGGCCAAGGAGTCAGGAGTAGTAGGCAAAGGAGAGAGAGAGAAGGAAAGTTTCCAACTATCGTCAAGTTGGCAGACAAAAAAAAATGGGAGCGTAACTTAATACGCAGCCCGGTGATCGACGTCCTGGCCAACGGAGGCCAGGAGCCTGCGTATCCGACCGTTTCAGTCGCTGACCATGAATTTAGTGAGAAGTAACTGTCTTGTGGTAAGGGAGACCAGCAAGAGAATTGGCAAGCTAACACAGTAAAGTCTCTATTAAAAAATAAGTTGAGATCAACTAAAGGAAACTAAGGCCTAAAAATGTCTAGAAGTATATTATGACTAGGTTTGTAATATAAGTAAACTAAAAAGGGAACTTGCTAGTCTCTACCACGGGTTTACAGCGTATAGGGAGCACAACAGAGAGGTCAAGGTCGAAATGACCTGTTCTCTTAGTTTAAGGAGCGAAAGAGGAGGTAACTTCGACAGATTCACAAGGTATTGTTAATGTTTTGACCTATTTCGAGGTTGATAGATGAACTATGAAGTATCTGTGACTGAATGAGTTGCTGAGTGAATGTCATTTGTCGTAAACTTGCAGTACCTGGTTGACCCTTGAAGAATTATAATAGCAATGAGTGAATTGTCTTGTACCCTCAAGATATATTTCATGGCTTTGTTTCACATGTCCAGAATTGTCTGTATTAAGTTTTATATTTTGTTCAGAGTTGTTTATTGGCCAAGTGATATCTCAGAAATGTCCTCTTCTCCCCATTGCTGAAAATGTTAATTAATTTACTGATCCAGCTATTCTAACAATCCACTCAGTGGAATGAATAGTAATTAAATTAGATAGCCACTTCCCTTATATTTGTGTCAGCAGGCTCACAATGCAACTTTTCAAATTGTAGGAGGTTTCAAATTCTGTTCTGCAACTGGTTGAAAATAATCTCAAGAAGGTGCGCTCTCCTCAATAATTTTTCCCAAATATTCCTTTTTATTATCCTGAAGTAGACATAGTATCACTGTAGTGATTTTCCAAGCGTAGCTCAGATGTGGCACAAAGCCGAAAGTATGGGGCACCCAGTGAGGATCGAACTCACTACTCAGTTGTAACTGTTCTAGCGAGACAAGCTTGCTAACCATCACACCACCTCGAGGTGCCTGACATAGTATCACTGTAATCAGGCTCAGAAACAAGACTCATTTAAAAAAAAAATCCTGTCTAAATACCTCATTGGTTGGACATATCTTTGCTCTATGTAGTGGCAAGAGGCAGATCATTTTTTTATAACATATATTTTTACATTTTTTCTTATTCTCCCTATCTGTATTATGGTTGAAGAAATTGACAATAGTTTTGATTGATATTTTTGTAGTTTAATGGTAGGTTAAATATGAAATTTGAATATCACTGATATTTTATTATCCGATATTTGGAACTTCATGAATATTTTATTAACATTTTATTTATTTTGATACCAAGCTTAAATATAAAAATGTATATAATAAATAAGAAATGTAAGATTATATAAAAATAATTAAAGGGTAAATAAAAAATAATACAAGAGACTAGGTTTGTTTATTGTACTTTCATTTGAGGGAAGTGTTTTGAAAAAAAATTATTGAAGGAAGAGAATTACTAACAAATATTCTTTAAATAAAAAACTGCTATAATGAAGTCAAACAGGTTATTAATAAATGACTTGAATAAAATTTGATGTGTAAAACTTTGTATATGTGAGGCTCAAAACTGCCAAAATGATAAATAACAAAAAAGATATGATACATGTATAAAATTTGTTTTTCGAAACTTGTAAAAAAAAAAGATGTTCAAGATGTCAAAACCTGTCTAAATAAAGTTTATGAATGTGTGTGGTTTAAAAAGCTACATTTTGTGATTTTTTAACCAATGGGGAAAGTAAGTTATGACCCCCGATGTATTAAATTTCTGATTCAAATCAGAGCCATTATGTGGATATTTAAGAAGTCTGGTTTATCTAACAGACAGAAGGGATTTAGGTTTCATGAGGTAAACATTGACTGGTTGATGGGAGCTGAACGTATTAAGCCTGATTTTGAACTTTTATGAAAGTACAAGATTTATTACATTTTTTTAATCTCAGTTTAAAAAACTGAATTGTCTAAAAGAAACCCAGCAACACCTGTGAATTGTCAACCTTCTCAACTCATTGAAGAAAACGAACATTTTGTTGATTTATTAACTGTTTTTATAATCCCAACGGAATTGTAATTAGAACACTTGTTATCTTGCTTAAGTCAAGTGTTAAGTACACAAAGGAAAATTTTGTGCAAACTTGTTTTTTTCTAAATTTTGTATTCTGTGTTATTATTTTTCGTGTCATTTAATAAATGTAAATTTTTTTCAAATTTCACATTGGGGTAAGAGTTTTGTTTTTTCATTTGCACCAACATAATACTCAGGTTAAGAGATTTAACGTTCTCTCTTCTCCTCCAATAGCCTTCCCAAAAAATCCTGTTATAAAAAATAAAATAGGAAACAAACATTTGTTGATACTTCTGAATTGTATACATGGCATTTCACAATTTGGGCACCTAGACATGGTGTTAATGGTTAGTAAGCTTGTCTCACTAGATCAATTACAACTGTATAGTGAGTTTGATCCTCACTGCCCTATATGCAAGCCACCAATCTGCCACTGGGTAGTATGCCACTAGTGTTTACAGCTGGTGACCCACTGTCAGACCACCGGTGTGTTCATCTTCTTGTTGTTACCACTGGCGGACCGCTAGTGGCCGGTGGCTGCCACTAGCAGATTGCGTGTAGGGTGGGTGCCCCATACTTGTGCCACATCTAAACTACACTTAGAAAATCACCATGGCATTTCACAATTCATTTGTTTTAATTTTATTTTAATCTTATTTCTAACCGTCTCTAGCATAAAAAGCCTCTGTTGTCTCATTTGGTGTTGTGAGTTCGATCCTCACTGGATGCTCTCCTGTTGTAGCTTTGTGTCAGATTTCACTTTGCTTAGTAAATATTTACTAATAGTATTAAAAAAAAAAAAACATTTTTATTTTTTTTCCATCCCCGACAGGTAAATATATATTCTTACTCCTACAAGACAAAAGAAATTGTATAAATCATTACCTATGTGATCATCCGTAGTAGAAATTGGTGAACATAGTTTAGCATTATACTGTCAGCAAATCTCCGGTGAAGACTTGTTGCCCTGTTCCGATTGGTCCGATAAATCACGTGCACAACTATGGCAGCGTGCAGAGCTTTCGGTAGATTATTGGGTGAGCTCGTATAATATTTTCTTGTTATTTAATTGAATTAGCACTGAGTTAATTTACTTTTAATAACATGCAGAAGTACTGCCTAACGTATCTGAAAATTTTTGATTCTCAAAATGTTATTTGTTCATAGTAAAATTGATTGTTGTTTCCCTGTGTGTTAGTCCCATTTTAAACAGAAAATGGGATGATGAGAAAGATGCATATTTCCACCCATTCAATTGTTTGTTGTGTATGTACCCTTCTAAACTACCTTGACAAACATTTTCACCTTGACCTATGCGTTTTCATTATAATTTATTAAGAATTTTTTTTTTTTTTGACAATTATCATTGATTTTTCTTTTTATTGTTGTTCGTAATAGTTCATACTCACCAAGAAGTTATTTTAAATCTTTCGAAATGACACTGGGATCCATGCCTTGTTTGTCTGTGACCTTCCTTGTGTTTTTCCCACTTTGCCCTGAGACTGCCCACGTTTATTTCGGTTGCTATCGCTTCTAATAGACATCTTACGTATATTATTCCCTATTTATAATTATTAGACTTTGCGGTAAATTGCAAGCCAATAATTCGTTATTAACAAACAATCCTGAAGCAAAATCTCTTCCGAAGCCGGTAGTTTCTTTTTGAGAGAAAAATGTATAAATAAATGTTTTTCCAGTACATACCTTGTTGAAACTTAAGTAGACGAACTATTCTTGTGACCCCCTCATATTTTTTATTTTACATCATTATTTAATTTGCGTTTTCTTGGAGATTAATTTTCTTTTTATTCTAATGTGAATGAATAAACTACATTTGTATTTATTTTTTTTACAGTTTCTGTTTACTTAATTCATTTTTTTTTTATCTTTACCATCGAACATTTGCGTGTTTTTAATCGATATCCAATTTTTTGGTGTACGAAAAATGCATCATTAGACAAAAAAAGCCCCATGATATCCACCCTAGAAAATATATGGTATTTTAAATTTTTTCAATCGTAATTTTTATTTCTTATTTTTAGTCTTTCCTTTATTTACCATAAACGATTTTAAAATCCGATATTTGCACAATGCTTTTAATCAGTTAAAAAAAATGAGATCTTACTTAACTTTCTTTAGTTTACATAATATATCCAATAAGTTTTTAAACAGTTTTGTTTTTTTGTTTTTTTTAAGAGTGGAACAAAATTATAAATGAAGACTGTAGAAGTGGAATTTAAGTAACAGTTTGTATTGGTTTTGGAGAGATAAAAAAGGACAAATCGTATTATTTTTTAAATTGAAATGATTTAAGAAGACTTAAGTTGCAATAAAGAAGCTACTGTGTTTGTATTTGCATTCCATTAATTAATGTTTTTATTGAAGGTGCTAAAAAAAGATATGTTGTCCTGGCATTTTCGTGGATTTTTAGATTCTGGGTATTATTGAAAGATGCTAAGAAACTTGCAAATCACATCAATGTTTTAAAAAAATTAATCACGAAGATGTTTGCTTTCAACATTTTTTTTTTATCTCCATGCACGTATGACGAGAACACGATATGTATCGGAAAAAAACTAAACTAGTATAAAAAATTATTTTATCTTTATAAATATTTATTTGTAAGAAATTGAAAAAAAGTTTGCCGAAATTGTTTGCTTCTATATCGCTAAGACTGGAGATATTTTTGGATTTAAGAAGTTGTTTAGTGTGGTTGTGGTGTGACGTAATAATTTTCACGAGAAAGTTTTTAGGCGATTTAACACTCAGATTTTTAAAAAAATTACCCAGGATTAGCTAAAAAAAGAAAAAAAAATGATTTCATAATATTTTATTTTATTTTTTTAAGAAAAAATTTGTAAGAATTCGAGGAAATGATTTTGTTACTGAAATGCTCTTCAGGAAAATTTTTCAAATATTTTTTTTTTATTTAACCTAAAAAAAAAAAATTGTAGTCCAATATTGAAATTTAGAAAAAAAAAGCACTCATTTCGGCAGTCACTAAAGATGATAAATTTTAAAATTTATTTCAAACAAATTTTAAACATGTATATAGTTTAAAAGTTTATTATTTAATGAAAATAAAATAATTTTTCATTTTCTAAGTTATTTTCTCCCAAATAAGTGTTTGGATGATACTCAGCTAATTATTAACTAACTTTAGTTTAAAATTAACAATAATAGCTACTTTAAGTTTATTAAGTTGAGAGATTCACTCCTAGTCTTACCCGCCAAAAAATTGTATCCTTTTTTTTTTTTAAAGTCCTAGTTTGTTCCGCCTGGCCATGGTAATTATCATGAATAAACGGATTTTTTTTTTTTTTTTTTTTTTTTTTCCGTGACCTTCATTTAAAATAGTAGTAAATTTTCCTTTTAACACCCGCGCTTAAAATTTTCCCAAATCGTCATAATTCCGTGTAAATGTACATGCTGAACTCGAACTAAATTAAATTATAAAGAAACCTACTGTTTTTCGGAGTTATCGACAAGAAAAAATAGGACATCTTGTTGGCAATTCGTCCTACATTACACTTACACAGACATTGTTTTATTCTGCCCAGACTACTATTCAAGATTTCCGGAGGCGCAATCATAAAATTTGGCCTATTTTTTTTTTTTTTTTTACAGCTATATCTCTTTTTGAAGTCTCTACGCATTATCGTAATTTTTTCTTTTTGATAAATGTAGTCTTATTTATAACAGCCTAACAGGAAACTTTAAACAAAAACAAATAATACACTAAAACCTTTTTTTTTCTGTGTAGAATAGCAATGACAAATTAATCATTTTTTATATTTTAAAATTGAAAATAAAACAAAAATTAATACACAAACTTGGTAAAGTAGAAGGGTTGATTGTATTATTCAATTTTATTTTTTTTAAATTTGTCTCCTTTTCTACACAGAAAGAAAACCCCACTCCTAACCTTAAGTTAACCCGGTTTATTGTATTTAATTTTTTTTTATTTTATTTGTCCCCTTTTCTACACAGAAAGAAACCCAATTATTGAATGTCTAAAAAATATGAGTCCAGGCAAACAACTTAAATAAAGAATGTAAAAGGGTTTTTTGTCCTTTGCGATGTAACAGAGCATTTTGTTAGAAGTACAGTGTGTTCCAAAAGTCCTGCGACAATTTGCAGAAAACATACACTTGTGAAATAGCAACCAAGGAAAATTTGCATCACATCATTTTCCATAATTCAACCAATAAAATTTCTTAATAATATATTGTCATTTACAGAAACATGATTCCATTTGGTAAATAAATATAAAATTTACAAGGTTATCAATGGTGATGCAATTTTGGAATACCCTGTAGTTTTGTTGCATGGGGATTGTGATTGGGCCCTTTTAAACATAGATTATTTTCTCTTTTATTTAACATGAAAAAACTTGTAAAACTACAAAGTCAAAAGGACTTACTGTTTTTTAGTGTGTGTGTTTTTACCTTCTAATTTTTTTTTTTTTTAAATTTTCATTTAATTTCTTAGAAAGATGTATGTTAATCACCAGCATCATATTTTTAATTTATAAATTAGTTCCTTATTTGCACATGGTTAGTTATATGCAATTTTCTAGTCCCTGATTAATTCTGCTTATCTTCCAACATTTCTAAATAATCTTTAAAAATATCTTAATTTTCTTTTTTTTTTTTTTTTTTTTCTTTGTTGTTCTTGCCTACCTTTATATTGAACTTTTTTTTTCCTCTGTAATTTGAAACCCATTGACTTAATAATTCATTAATTAGCTGTTATATAAAAGGTAGTTACAATTTGAAATTAAATTAGCACCCATCCAATAAGATTTCAGCTCAAGTTTGTCAGATGGGACAACTTGTAGTGAATTGTACTACATTTAAAAGTGCAGTGCAACTAAATTTTGAATTGACTTTCTTCTCATGAGTAGATTTACACTGTATATATTTAAACCAAAACACTGCTTTTCATAGTATTCATAATATGCTGCTACTATGTTTTGACTACTCAACACCCACACACATTGGAAGCAGATATTTTGTCATGCATAAACACTCATTTACTACATTTGACTCTGTTTACTTTGTGCACATATCATTTGCAGATTTCCTGATTATCTGTATAATACAAACAGTAGAATGTTGTTCTGGCCTTTTGAACATTGCTTAATTGTGAATTAAATGAAATTCATGCTTATTATTTCTACAGTTGTTTTGATTTTGTTTTTGTCTGAAATTGTTTTCTTAGAATTTCTGAGTTCTACATTTAGCACTAATTCCCAAAATACCCAGATTCAGAATTATAATCCATTTTTATTTATTTCAAATAAAAGTAATGAATTTAAAAAATATATATTGTAAAACAAAAACTTTGAGTATATTAATAATTCAGAGTGATTGTGGTTTTTCTCCAATTTTAATTGACAACAATAAAATATTTGATATCGACATGACAGCTTCAGGAAGGTTATTACTAAAATAATCAAATTTTTAACTTGTGATCTCTAAAAACAATGTACAAGTGCAGTTTATTAGTTATTTTTTAAAAAAAAGCTTTATTTTTGGGTGTTTAAACTTGTAAAACATTTTTAGCTTGATATTCAATTTGTTTGAAATTCTAATCCTTCCCCCTCTTAGTCACACAAATGAAAATTATAGTACATAAGGATTTGATGTTGCCTTTACAAATTTAAATGCTTATTTTAAAATACTTATTGTTTATTACTTACAAACATAAACTTTCTATTAGTGTTCAGAATGTCACTGCATGTCTCTGTTGGTAAACCACTGATTTACTTGATTCTGTTTTCTAAAATACCAAATAAAATAGCTGCTGTGTAGATAATCTTATCTTGGCCACACTGTACACTGACATAGTTTGATCTCTTCAAACAAGAGCACAAAAATATCAGGCTTGTCTATAAGGAAACTTCTCAAAGATTTAAAATATATACTAGTAACTTTTTTTTTTTTTTTAGTATTATAAAAATAAGTTCATTAATGCAGTTTTTAAATACTTGTAAATAGTGAAATATTCAACAAATAAATACAATAACATTTTTATTTATTGATATATCTATTAATCCCAACTTAATTGTTTTTTTTTTTTTAATTTAACCTTCATGTTAAACAGATCTTTAAATTGATTAATTTGTTAAAATTGATTTGCAGTCAAAACATTTTAAGCTATTTTATAGGTAATGCTACTTTTTTTTAATCTATGGACAAGACTAAAAAATTTTATTGCTTAAACTTTTTTTTTTTTACTTCATAAAAGTGGTTTTGAAATTAGGACAGTGATAAAAATATCTTATCAAAGGTTTTAGAGATGAGTGTCAATATATATGCCAGTAGATTATTTTTGCCTATACAAATAATATTTGATTAAATTATATCTTGACTTGCTCTTATTTGTCTTTTTTATATCACTGATGGATTATTTTTTTATATATTATATATATATATATATATATATATATATATATATATATATAAGTCCTTATTCAGAAAGGATAAAGAAATACTACTTTTATGTTGTGAACAAGTAACTTCTGTTTCTTGTTTCTTTACATATGAAAAAGTTATTTGAAGTAAATTTTGACTTCATTAGTGATTTTTCTAAAAAAAAAAAAAAAAATTAGCTTTTAAAATGTAAAATCCAAGTCAATTTTAATATATTACTTTTTTAATGTTTTTATGAGTTGGTGACGAGTATTCATTGAACTTACATAAAGAAAAAGACAATATACATATCCTACATGTCATAATAGACTATTCAGTAATATTTACCACTTCCCCAAAGAGACATCATATTTGCAGGACAACAGAGAAATAACCAGGTAAAGTTATTCAAAAATTAATCTTCAAAATATTCAGCAGAGTACAGCAAAAATGGAAGAATTAAAAGCTATTATGATTCAAATGTTGGTGCTACAAAAGCAACAAGAAGAACAAATGTTGCAGCAACAAAAACATGAACAGCAGTTACAACAACAGAAGCTTTTCTAATTTTTTTACTAAAGCTACAGAAGAAAAGTTTTCAGATTTAGTCACTCCAGATGCTGTTGCTAATTCAGTCAGCGAATTTGTATACAATCCAGACCAAGGGATAACTTTTCCAGCTTATAGAAGATACAAAGGGATCTTCAAAAGGGATTGTTCGCATTGGAATGATAAAGAAAATTGATTTATTATTAAGGAAATTGTCCCCTGTTGAATGTGAAAAATATGTGAACTATATTTTACCAAAAAAAACAGGTGAGACAAATTTTGATGAAACTGTTGTAATACTATCAAAAATTTAAATTATTTAACACATGATGGCAATGTCTTAGTAAAGTGCAACAATGAAGATTTTGTTATGCAGGAATCGTGAATCAAGAATGTGAGAAGTTCAAGTTAAATGAATTAACTCTGAATTTATTTAAATGCCTGATATTCATACAGGGTTTAACTTCTAATAAGGACGCAGTAATAAGATCCAGGATACTTGCTAAATTAGAAATGGATCCCAAATTAACTCTCCAGAAAATAGCAGAAGAGTGTCAACATATTGTAAATCTAAAACTCGATACTGCAAGGATTGAGGAAAGAGACATTTCACAAGTGCATAGCATCTGAGCATCTAAGAGAAAAGACTGTAGACAATTTTCAACTCCTAACAGGACAGTAAAAAATATGATCTAAGACCTAATACATTGCATGGTTGTGGATGTAAGCATTTCAAAAGTAATTGTTTTTTCTAGAACAAAAAAATGCTACGAATGTGTACTTGTTGCAGATGCAAAAAATGGAGTACAAATGAAACGTGTGGGAACATGATAAATACATGGAGTAAAGATAAGAAGCATAAAAGGAAAATTAACAAGACTTTGTGTCTTTAACTAAGTTAGAAACATCTCAAAAGAGGAAATTTGTTTTTGTCGAAATTAATAATGTAAAAATAATAATTACAACTGGATACAGGATCTGATATCACTATCATAAATGAACAGACATGGAGTAAAATGGGTAAACCCAGTTTATTGACTTCTAATAAAGTTGCACATGGAGTTTCAGGAAAGAGATTGAACTATTTGGGTGAATTCACCTGTAACATTTGTTTTGTTAGAAAAATCAAGAAAGCAGTGGTGTTTGTATTAATACTGCTAATTTATTTGAAATAGACTGAATTGTATTATTTTATCTTTGGGACCTTCCAATTAACTCTTTTTGCAACCAAATAAATATTGTTACCTCCGGCGCTGATATGGCAACTGAAAAATTAAAAAATGAATTGAAAAAGAGTTTTCTCAGAAAGTCAAGGGACATGCACAAAAACTAAAGCTAAATTTGAATTAAAAGAGAATGTAATTCTCAGATTTAAGCCAAAAAGGAGTGTTTTGCAGCTTTAGAACCAATTAATAAGGAATTAGACAGACTAGAAAAGTTAAGTGTGATCTCAAAAATAGATTATTCCAAATGGACATCACCAACAGTTTGTTAAAAAAAAAGAAATAATAAAATCTGTATGTGCTGATTTTTCAATGAGGTTAAATGAAAGTTTAAAATAATATAACAACCCATTACCAAGTCCAGATGAAATTTTTGCCAAATTAAATGGTAACTTTTTTTAAAAATTGGACCTGTCAGATGCTTACCTACAAGTACTAGTAGATGAAGAGTGCTCAAAACTGTTAACAGTTAACACTCATAGACGGTTATACAAATTTAATCAACTTTCAGTATAAAGGTAGCGCCAAGCATATTCCAACAGATTATGGATACGATGCTTACCGGTTTGGATTGTGCACAAGCATATTTAGATGTACTTATTAAAAGAAAACACAAAAGCAATATACGGAAGATATAAAAAAAAAAAAAAAAAAAAAGAGTATTTGAGAGAATTAAAGAATATGGTTTTAAGATCAATGAAGGAAAATGCAAATTGTTTAAATATCTATGACAAATTATCAATGAAAACTGTAGATGACCGGATCCTTCAAAAGCAAGTGCAATAAAAGACATGCCCGCTCCAACAAATGTACCAAAGTTACAAGCATTTTTAGGGTTTGCTAATTCCTATCACATATATAATCTAACATGCATGAATTAAGATCACCTTTGAATAACTTGCTAAAGAAATATGTGAAATGGAATTGGTCAGATAAATGTCAGTGCTTTCGAAGAGATCAAGAAAGTCTTAACGTCGGATTTGTCACCAGCTCATTTTGACCTTAAATTAAAGATTGTGGTTGCATCAGATGCAAGTGATTCAGGTATTGGAGTAGTGATACTACACAAATATGAGGATGGAATAAAACAATAGCTCGTGCTTCAAGATCATTAATTGCAGCTGAAAAAAGCTACAGCCAGATTGTAAAGGGAGCATTGGCCATCATATTTGCCATGAAAAAGTTTCATAAATTCATACATGATAGAAAATTCATACTACAGACAGACCATCATCCATTATTGTCCATATATGGATCAAAAAGGGATGTTCCCACACATACAGCAAATAGACTGCAGCACTGGGGAATTATCTTATTGAACTATAATTATAAAATAGTTTCTACCATCTAAAAAAATTAAGTCATGCAGACAGATTATCTAGACTAATACCAAGATTCTGTGAACCACTTGAGGACACAATAATTGTGGCCATAAGGGCCAAAAATGAAATTAATAATGTATTATACAATACTGTAAGAGAACTGCCCATAACATTGAAGGAAATAAGAATTAACTCATAAAAACAACTTTATAATGAAAATGAAGAAGCAATTAAGATTTAAAGGAAAACATTTTAGTGGAAATAATGCATTTTCATTATATAATAATGTACTTAGGTACACAAAGAATTGTGATACCAGCATCATTGCAAAAATGTATGCTAAAAGAATTTCACATAGGATATCCAGGAATTTCTAGAATGAAATCTTTAATACTTATTGGCCAAAAATGGATCAAGATATTGAAAATTTAGTGAAATCATGCAGAGTTTGTGCTCTGGCAGCGAAGTTACTGCCTATCAAAATTCAACTTTGACTGAAAACCGATATGCCATGGACCAGAATACATATAGACTTCACAGGACCATTAAATGGAGCATACTATCTAGTGGTAGTCAATAGTTACACTAAATGGCCAGAAATATTAAAATGTAGAAGACCGACTACTGCGATAACGATAAATTTCCTACACAAGATTTTTGCATGATTCGGTTTTCCTGACTATTGTTTCAGACAACGGAACATGATTCATGTCAGTGAATTTAAGGTTTTTTGTAAATCATATTACAACTCCCCTTTGTCACTCAAGGACAAAAGGACAAGTGGAATGGTTTGTCGATATGTTTAAAAGGGCACTAAAAAAATCTGAGGGAGAGGGGTCGGATAAAATAATGCTATAACTAACATCACAAGGTCAAAATACCTCAATAATCATATCAGCCAATTAATGACAATGTCCAAAGAAAAATTATGTCTATAATAACAACTATATCAAAGACGATGAGGACAATAATTTGAAACAATACAAGAATATTGACAATTACTCATCTCTGGAATAAAGTATTAAAAAAATCTTAATAGACTTGTTGTCTTATATATATGTTTACTTACACCCCATTTTTATTATAAAAAAAATAAAATTTGATGATCTATTATTTTTCTTGTCTTGTGAAAGAACTGGTCAAATTGTGTGTGTGTTTGTGTAATATATATATATATATATATATATATATATATATAAACACTTACAAAAGAAATCAGTGGAAGTTTGTAAAAGGTTTTACTTGTTATACAATTTTTCATTCAAATGCAAGTTTGATTATAATCATCTTTTTGATATTAATAACTTAGCTGTGCTTTATTTCTATTTGTGTATTATAGTATTTTTTGGTTTTATTTTCAGTGCACAAAAGTACTGGTGTGCGCCATTGTTATACAGCAACCCGCTCACATTTATTAATTGGTAATGACACAAAACTTATCTGCCAGGGGTTGACTGGCAAACAAGTGAGTTATTTTGTCATTTATACATTTTTTCATTTTTTTTTTTTTTTTTTTTTGTCAATGAAAAAAATCTAGCATAGGGCAGTGGTTAGCATTATAACCATATAAGGCATTGTAAGTTTATTAACTGGGTGCTCCATGAATATAGTTCTATGCCTAGTCTAGCTTAGTCTAATAAATATTTGTTGAACGCATTTGTAAATATAGAATGATTTTTTTTTTTTTTTTATATACATTTCACAAAATAGCCCAGCTGGTCTTGGACTACATTTTTTACAGATTAGCTTTCAATTTAAATGATATATAGAATAGAATACTTATAATTCATGGAGTTTGGTGCTAATTTTGAAGTTATCAGCATTCATTGCACCAGGTAATGTCCCTTATTTGGTTAATGACTTATAAAATACACATATGCGCGTACACACATAACATTTTTGATTATTTACTCATTAAGAGTTTTTCAAGAATGGCCATTTGCTTCTCTTGGATGCTCCTGCTCTGTATCATTCTTTTAAAAAGTATTTAAAATTACTCACTCTTATATACATAAAAAAAAGAATATACAAATCTTATATATATTAAATACTTTTCACTTACACTATTGAGCTGAAATAGCTTCAAAATGTACTGACCTTACTTGATAAATAAAATTTTTGTATTTGATCCATCAACATTCCAGTTTTTAAGCATCTTTTATAAAACAGATCTCATTTTCACAAAAGTTTAGATGTGTTACTCTATATAACTTTTTAAAAATTTACAATAATTTTATTTTTAAGCTAATTAAAAAAGAATAAATATCCTAAGCTCTTTTGATTTATCTCTTTTATACATATCCATTTTTAACCAAATCTTCCACTTGTATTCCTTGTCTTCTTACAATATACCTGTATTTTTCTTTTATGTATATCTCAATCAATTGATATTCATTTTTGGGGATGGGTGGAGGCATTCTGTCTTTAAAATTTATATCTGTTTTAATGAGAGTAATCCATGAACTCATTTTTTAGACATAAAAAGAAATCTTAATCAATAAGAAAACTTGTTTGCTTATACTCTTACAAATTTGTTTGTCAGCTCAGGCAAATAATACTTGAAACTACAAGATTAGTGATATGTCCAAAACAACTCTACTTATCTTTGTACATTTTCCATATTTTCATTGATATATCATCCGTGTCTCTGTTCATTACATTGAATTAAACAGTTTGTTTTATATTAATTTATTCATAAAGTTATTTTCAGGTAGGTAACTTAATTTCTTGCAAACACCTCCTTATGAACAGAATTTTATATTGAAATCTCTGCAGTATTTAGATATATCTTCCAATATATTGAAACTATATTTACTTATGATGACTTAGCAGTAAATACTATATCTTCATTACTAATTTACAAAAATTGACCTTAATAAATATTTATTTTTTTATTCTTTTTATAGGGAACCTTTCACAGTGAACAATGTCTTCAATATGGTACTAAACTCGTTGGAGGAGTTTCTCCTGCCAAAGCAGGATCCACTCATTTGGGTGTCCCTGTTTTTGCCACAGTCAAGGAAGTAAGTAAATGTTGTCTTATGTGGAGAGAAAGTTTAAAGCTCAAATCTTGTTGATTGCCAATTTTCAGTAATATATGCTCAGAGTTGGATGAATACAACTGTCTTAAAGAAATATTGATAGGCATAATATAACATTAATAGATTGATAGATGTATTAAATTTAGCATAAATATATCCTCATCGTTTTGCATGGCATGTTGCACACCAAAATCTCAGCTTTTGTGTATTGTTTTTATTTTTCTCTGGTCACAAGTAATGTGCCCATTGTAGGCTGCTGGAGTAATCCCCTTATCCATGCTGGCACATCAGTCTAGGGCTGCAACTCTGCTCTCAATATTGCATGGTAATAATCTGGAGGTGGCCACTCTCTGGTCTTTCATGTTAGATTCATCAGATTCCTCTTCAGTGCTGGCTTAAAGCAGCTTGGAAGAGCAAATCATTTTAACAACAGTTTGAAAGAGTTATGCACAAGTAGATTTAAAGGTTTTCCTCCTGTGTAGGCTTATAGTTTGGTCAGCATCCAGATAGGTGACTTCTATGGAATACCAGGTGCTGTAGGCTTACAGCTGGGTCAGCAACCAAATGGGCGACTGCTTGGGAATACTAGGTGCTGTAAACTTGAATATGTAGATAGTGTAATGGATAATGGTTCCAAATTGTAGATTGGAATTCCAATTCCAGTTGGGTTTGTTATATTCACTTACATAAAAATATCCTTGCAAATGGGATTGAATCTATCTCTTCTCTGCTTCCAGCTATGGGTTAATTGGTAGGACATGCATCAGTAAAATCATTATTATTAAGAAAAATTCTTACAATCTGAAAATATTTTTTGGCTTTAAATAACCTGCAAAAGGTTGATAAGCCATAAAAAAAAACAAATCAATCAATTAATCCTCCCATGTAAGGTGGGTTTATTTGTGTTACATAACAACCTGGAATTTATAACCTTGTGATATGGTTTTCATGTTGAAGATTTTCTTTCTTTGAGACAAATTACTTTCACTATGGTTAAGGAGCTCCATCTTCCCCATTAATAGATGCAGGGTTTATTATTTCCTTGAAATTTTGGACATAAGGCGGGGAGGGAAAGAAAAGTTTTCCTTATTTAAGATGTCAATATTGACACATGAAAAAGTTTCTTGTTACAAATATTCTAACCATTTTCAACAACACTGGTTACAGTACATCTCTGTGCTGAGATACTGAAAAGGCTATTATGAAAAATCTGAGCATGAACATTACAATAAATACTTGCTAGTTATTTTATGGATACTGTGTCCCTTGAAAAAATTTCCTTAAGCATGAGATATATGTGATTTGTGATTTGTCATCTCTTCATTATATACATTATTTACTTTTGGACTAATGTTTTCATTTTTGTTGTAATTATCACAACATTTCAGTCTTTGTACCCTTTGGCCTTCTTCAGATCTGTCAATCCAGGTAACCGTCAAGGAATTTTTAACTAAATCCACACCTTGTTCTCTTTTTACTACTGCTCAGGTAAAAAGAGAACGAGATATGATTTCCCTAGACACAGACAGCAGAACAAGAACAATTCATCCCCATAGATTAAAGAAAAGGTTCATTTTGAAATTCGCTGAAGGTTACCATGATTGATTGATACTTGAAGAAGGCTAGAGGGAACAACAGTCAAAATGTTATGACAATAATAATGATGAGATTATTAAGCCAAATATAAATAATAATTCCTCATCCCAGAAGTTCAGACAGGGAATGTCTTTGTTTAATCATATCATTTTACCAAATATCACGCCAGTTGTTGACCCTCTGGTCAAGCTATATTATATATTACAGTAGATGTTGGTAAGGCAACTGTATTTTAAAAATAGGAACCATCTGATATTAATCCACCTTATTGTGTTTATTCATCATAAGATGATCTGTTCTTCTCTTTGCTTTAATGATTTACATTATCAGCACCAAGATTCTTTTTGTTTCTTGTAAAATGCTTGCAAATTTCTGGCCATAGATTTTGTGAAAAATGAATTATTTTAACAGAATTTAAAATTTTGATGGTACAGATAATCATAACCATAACTTATAAATTGGTAGTTTTACGACCAATGCAAAATAAATAGATAATTTTTATCTTAAGATGTATTCAGTTTGTATATTATAGCGAAGAAAATGGCGAATTACCTCATCAAACCAAGCAACAGCATGTCAAGTGTATCCTACAATGGAAAATGTAGCGAAAAAGAAAATTACTTACCAAAAAGAAGGTCATGTATTCCGCATGACATGCTGAAGACGGAATATTTAAATTAGAAACAAGTCAGTTGCAGGAGTCGCCATAAAAGTATTTTGATATGCTAAAATTGGGCGTCCTCTCCCAGTTGTTGACAAATGGAAAAAACGCTCGGCCGATAAAAGCAGTTGGTGTTCTCGAATCAAGAGAGAGGAATAAAATTTCTGTATTTTAGTTACTGCGTTCATCAGAGTGAGTTATTTTTCTGACTGGTTATGTGCATTGTGATTTGTGAGATAGTACCTGCAAATCGACATTTCGGCATTTCTTTCTGCCCCCGATATTAGAGTCTGAACTTACAGTGATTTGTTCTCTGCGTTGTGGAAGCAATCTGCAACAAATATTTCTATCTCTCTCTCTCTCTCTCTCTCTCACATTAACTCACACACACTAGAGAGTATGAGGCCACAGCTCTCAAAAACAGTACCAAGTAGATTTTTTTGGTAGTTTTGAAATCAGAGTTGTCCTTCTCCTAGGCTTGTTGTCAACCAAAGCTAAAAAGCCCAGTCTACCCTACAATTTAAACTGTAGCTGGTAGGGTGTGGGGAGAAGATGAATTCATATCTTTCCCAACGGTATTTGCATGTAAGTGAATGTAATGAACTCTATTGGAATTCAAACTTGACTCTCCAATTTCTTTTATCAAGCTACTATCCATTATACCACCTGCATATCCATGTAATTATTATAGTGCAGTGCATACTTCTAATTCCCAGTCTCATGTTAGTGATCAAAGTACACTATTGGTTGAATAGAAATTAATTTAAGTAAATTTAAATGCTGATTTAAAAACTTTAAAATGCTCCTGTTAAGCACTCACATCTTCCGTTTACATAGTTTAGCTATTTTCTATTTTTAACAACACTTGTTTAGATGTAATGGAATTTTAAGGGTACTATAATATTTTTTATAATAATAAAAGAACTATACTCATTGTATGAATTTTGTTTTTTCAGGCTCGAGAGAAAACTGGTGCCAATGCTTCCGTGATATTTGTACCGCCTCCTTTTGCTGCTAAAGCTATTATTGAGGCTGTTGATGCAGAAATCCCTTTGGTTGTGTGCATTACAGAAGGCATTCCACAGCAAGATATGGTCAAAGTGAAAAGAAAGCTCACTGAACAGAATAAAACACGACTTATTGGCCCAAACTGTCCCGGAATCATCAAGGTAGATATTACCAGTTGTTGTTTTGTTTTTTTTTTTTAATATATATTTTGTCCTTTGGTCAAACTTATGTAGTGCTTAATTAATATCATTTATTTAATCTTGATTTTTATATGAATGCATGTTTTTCTGTCACAAAAAGGAGTAATCAATTTATCGCATAAGTAGTCTAACTTGTTTATAACACTGAAGAAATAAATGAAACGTTTATAGGTTGATAAAACTGTAGTCTCTAGTGATGGAATCTTTTAATTTCTATCATTTTATCTAAGATCAAATTATGTCCAATCAACTTGTTTATTTCATAATTGATACTTATTAAATACAATAACTGAAGAAATAAAGAAAATGAGCTAAAATCTAAGATTAATGATAAGGTTGAATAGCTTCTTAAATCAGTTATAACAAGAAATAATCTGCAAAGCATTCATTTATTTGATTTGATAAATGGGAGGATTTTAAAATGTATGGCAGCTAGTTATTTAAAGAATTTTTTCCTTATAATTACAGCCTGGAGAATGTAAAATAGGCATTATGCCTGGCCATATACACCAACCAGGTAACATAGGTAAGTGCAAGTTTTAAGTACTCTGTTCTATAACAGTCAGTAAGTTTTTACAAGTGTTCATTTCTTTTCTTTAAATGCTTATACCTAACAATTGAGATGATTTCAGAAATTTTTTTCTTTTTTTTTACCCATTTTGGTATTTTGATAATAGTGTTTTTAAAAAATGTAAAAAGAACTGTTGGAACTGCTAGGTCAACTTGACTTATTTGGGAAGGATATTAGAATAATCCAGAACTTATACTGGCAGCAAACCTCCAGTATACAGATAGAAAATTAATTCAGTAAATATGCAAAAATAGAAAGTGTGTAAGACAAGGATGTGTCTTCTCATCAGACTTATTCAATCTATACAGTGAGATGATTATATCAGGATTCATTATTGGTAGCCACAATCTTAACAACATAAGATAAGCAGACGACAGTGTTAATAGCAGACACAAAAGGAAGCTACAAGAGCTCCTACAGAAGGTAGTACTAGAGTGATTGAGTAACAATTGTAGTCTGTTTCACTCAAGGCTTCCTGCTAGCCTTGTTTATACTTGCATTGTTCACACACATGCCACGCCTTGTATGTGGCCGGTTTAGTCCATTTCAGGGATGGGTTACCAGTGTTACTCTACAGTAGGGAAGGAAAGTGAGAAGAAAAGACTAAACATCAATTCCAGGAAGACAGAATGCATGATTGTTAGCAAAAGAAACAACCCATTAGACCAATTACAAACTGGAGATACCAAAATCAAATAAGTACAAATATTTTAAATATCCAGGAAATATTTAACAGTTTGGATAGTGCAACTCTGAAATCCGAAGTCATATTGGGTTAGCCAAAGATATCTTTTGAAAGTTGAGCAAAGTATTAAACAACAATTTCGTTAGAAACAAAGAAAAGCATACTAACCTGTTATGTAATATCATATATGGCAGTGAATGCTGGACAATCTCCTCAAAGATGAAAAGATTGGAAGCAACAGAAACTGGTTCTGCAGAAGGATGTTGAAAATATCATGGACCAAACATGTAAGCAACAACAGTTTTAGAGAAAATGAAAATGACCCTTATGCTTTACATCAGGAAGAGACAGTTGAAATTTCTAGGACACATAATGGAGAAAGAGGGTCTGGAAAATCTGGTGCTCACAAGACCGATTGAAGGCAAGATGGACAAGAGGAAAATGATGCATAAGCTACCTAGAGAGTTTGTGTAAATGGATGGCGGAACAAGGTTTAGGAGAGATAACAAAGATAAAATTTATTAAGAGCTACAAAGGACAGGAAATTGTGGAGAGCCATGTTCACCAATGGCGTGAAGGGACATGGCACAAGAAGCTCTTATGTAAATCTTTGATATGTTCCTAGAAAGGAAATTAATTTTATGATTGAAAAAGAAATAATTTATTTTAGATTGTTCTGTAAGTTGGTTAAATGTGTCATGCTGATGTAATGAATATGCATACACCTGGGTTCCCCCTCACAGTAATATGATTGGCTGGTGTCAGCTATAAATACAGACTGATGTGGAGGTACTGGGGCGATGCTTATTGGCTACCCCTATTGCCTACCACTACAATGAGGACCAGTCCATTACGGTTACCTGTTACAGTAGTGAACAACCACTTCGTGTGACACCCACTGGTGGTCGCAGTTGCAGTGCCAATATGTAACGTCCACTGGTCGCGATGTCAATATATGACACTATGCCGTCGGCCCGTGGTCAACTCCTAGTTGCAGCACGAAGCTGTAACGTTTCTGCCACCAGCCTGTGTCCCGGTCGATCCGGTCATTTCCAGTTCAATACCAGCTTTGTCGTTCTCAGCTCGCCTCCAACGCTTGGTCACCAAAGTAACTGCTTTGATCTCAAGTCTAACCAACCCACGTTGTGGCTTTGATCTTAGGTAGACGAAATCAATTAGGCATCGGGCTGTAGTACAAGCTGAATCCGGGGTAAAGATGATACCGCACAAGCGTAAGTAAAAGAAAAATAATAAAACAAACTCACGAGGTTCAAATATGTTGAAAAATAACAATTAACTTTATCTATCTGTTGAATACAGGAGTGTGTTTCTCTCTCGGCCTGTTTCTATGGATTCGTGACACTTTTTTGCGTTTCTTAAGTGAGTTATGGTATCTTAAATCGTTCATCAATAAAACTTTGCTTTTGATAGGAAGACTAAGCCGAAAGGGATGTGGTGTGGAAATCTTTCGGTCAGCTCCTGCGAGGCTGGTCTCCAACTGTAACTCCGAACTCTCTTGAAACTCTGCTGAAAAAACTCTCTGCAGCTGCCTCAAGATGTTTGTTTATATGCACACCGACCAATTCCGGGGTGGGGCCTGTCGTGGTTTGGGTTCTTTGACAATTCTTAATTCCCAACTTAGTTACTTCCCATTTTTGTAAGATTAATCACTTTCCACTTCAGGGTTCCTCATTATCCATGAGGGAAGGTCGGAGTTATCCTCCTCGACTCTTCCTCTCTCACATTGGTATCTCATACCAATCCCCTTAATGGGTGTTAACAACTTCTCCGTCTTTCTCATACATTCACCTCTGCCTATTATCCATGCTACTTCTTAGCCAATGATCTTTTCCTTCGGCCAAAACATTTACAATTCCCAGATTGCTGAATAATTCCTTATCATGTCGTAATGCCCAGACCTCTATCGACTCATTAATCACTGTCAAAAAACCCGACATCTGACCATGCCCACCCAACAATTAAATTCTTTTTCTCATGTCTTAAAATTCTCTTATCACCAGATGCCTATTTCCGACGACACTGCGTCTGACGTCAACAGTTTGAAAAAGTAATAACACTCTCATCTGCGATTTCCCTTCCCATGCCAAGATTCGTACATACAACAGATGGCTTCCCTTGCTGGAATCAGGAATTAAAATTAAATGGTATCTCTGAAAGACAATTAATGGCCACTCTCCAGGGTGGTCCCAAGCCAATGCATCGGCTGGTTTTGTTTATCCTTCAGAATTCTGTTTCGTTTGACGCATCACTCCATTATCGTGACATTAATTAATTTGACAGAATCACAGTCTCGCTTTTTCTTACTGATTTTCTGTCTTTTGTGAAAAGTATCTTCCTTTTGTAAATAAAATAAATTCTTTTTTTTAATGTCACTCAGTCTATCTTTCGGTATAGCTCTTTCTCGCCTTAAGTATTTCCCGTTTTTAATTTCTATGGTTAATTAGTTAGCCAATTACCATAGCTGAATAGTGTCACATTTGAACAAATATATCCCTTTCTGGGACATATCACATGCCAAACAGTTTTTCTTGTCAGAATCCATCTTGCACATTTATAAATCTATAATTTGTCCATGCATTGAATATTGCTGTCATTCTGGTCTGGTACTCCTATATCTTGAGATTCTTGATAAAATTCAAAGAAGTGTCTGTAATGTAATTGATCCTGATCTGGCATCTTGATTTCAGTCACTTTTTCACCAACATGATGTGGCTTCCTTCTGTCATTTCTATAAATATTTTCATGGCATTTGTTCTAATGAGCTCTCTTCCTTGGTACTTCAACTGCATGAATTTGAGTGTACTACTAGATTGTCAACTAGGTTTATGGTTGAACTAGTTAGATGCGGTCATATTCTAATATTTTTTGGGGTTTTTTTTGCCTGTGAAACTCCTTTCCAATTTCTTGCTTCCCTGCCACAATCTTAAAAAAAAAAAAAAATTAAATGCAATGCCATCGCCACTTCTGTCTTCCTGAATTCTGTTTTATTATTGTCCTTTCTCCTCACTAAAGTTTTCACATTCTCTTTCACTCTCAGTAACCCTTTGAATCCTAGTTGCCTTGCTTGGAGGGTAATGATAGAAAAATTATTATGTAAACATACAAGGCTCTCATCCAGCTTTCTCTGGACTGGCCAATTGTATTTATTGATTCTCATTTGCATTGGTGTGCACCAAAATCTGGGAAAGGCCCAATTTATGTTCACAAGGAAACACAAAATGAAAATAAATACCATATTGAGAAATGAGAACTCTCCCAATAATATAAAATATTCATGACTTTTGCTTGCTATGGATAGGTGACACTTGGGACAATCTCTGCCATATTAGTCTAACGGTTCAGCTCTTCCCTCCTACCAACCCTCTGCCCATCTACACATCACAGCATGTGGCTGTCAACATGAATAGGTGGTGTTGGAAGTACCAAGGATAGTCTGTTCCAACCACTGGCAGACCCAAACTCACTTCCATGATCACAACTGTAATTGTTAATATAGACCAGCAATTAGAAATCATCATTATCCAAAACCTTCATCCACTCGTTTACTCTTCATTCCTTTTTGCTGAAGTGGATGCCACTTGGAAGACCTGGCTTCAAGGACCCTATCCACCAACTATAAAGCAGAAGCACTTGAGATCATGATAAAATCACACATTCCTCTTCTATGTGAGTGTCCAAATTAAAATCAACATATAATTTAAGGGTGGGGGTGAGATAAAATCTGTTATGAGTTTGAAGATACTCTCAGAAAAATAGAACTGAAGTTGATTCTGTGGTAAACTGTTAATTTACTTGAACATAAAGTCGTTACTTTTGGTATCAAAACTAATTATGCAAGTTTATTAGTAATAGGTAGATTTTTTCTTATTATAATTTTTAAAAAAATTAATGCTAAGTGTTAATGCTTTAGTAGATCATTCATTTAATATTTGTTAGTTTTTTACAATAAAGTTGACTGCTAGAGTCCTTGAAGTTCAGGCGAGTTTATTAAGTTTGATTTTTTTTTTTTTTCTTTTCTTTTATAAGTCTTGTTTTTGAAACATTGCATACTGAATTCACTGTCCATAGTTTTCTAATTAATGCTACAAGCAGATGCTTCATGAAATGGAAAAATAATTATATTGTTAGCGTATAAAGTGAATAAAAGCTAAGGTGGGGTACTAGAGGAATAGTAGTAAAGTCAGTCATTGCTAATGAGTCAAAATCTTGCCTGCATACACCAGGTACAAAAATAGTGATAATAAACAACTATAACTGTTTTATGCTGTAAATTGCTATTGCTATTTTTTTAATCATTGATGAATGAAAGCTTTGACTTATTTGTTTAATAAATCCGCAACATGACCCCATGGATTATCAGTTGTATAATATTTTGAAACTTGTTTAGACATTTCTTTAATGTTTTTGATTTTGTTTAGGTATTGTTTCACGTTCTGGAACCTTAACATATGAAGCTGTTCACCAGACAACTTTGGTGGGTCTTGGCCAGACTTTATGCGTGGGAATTGGTGGAGATCCTTTCAATGGAACAGATTTCATTGATTGTTTAGAAGTCTTCCTTCAGGATCCAAAGACTAAAGGTAATTGTTTACCTTTTTTTTTTTTTTTTTTTTTTTAAGCAATGTTCAAGATATTTTAATGTGTAAAGAATGTAGAAACTCGTTCAAACTAGAAGACAACAAAATTTTTACAGCAAAAGTAATATGGAATATTATAGAATAAATAAGTGAAATAAAGTTACAATAAGAAAATACCTAATTCCAATAATTACAAACTTATCAAAGATATGATGAAACAAAAATTATCAGTAATAAGACACTGAAATATCTCAAAACTATAACAAAGTTGATTCATTAAAGAAAAATTAAACAAAACTCATACTGAATGAAGAAGCACAAATGTTTAGTGCTAGTAAATTATCCAACTGAAACTTTCTTCTTCTCTTGCAAAATGACATAGCATTTACACACAGAAACCAGAAATATTTCCTCTGTTGGTATTCAATTAGTTTGTTGTGCCATAGCAATAAAAATGAAATAACTAAAAACAAGTATGGGTAAAAATGAAATAGTTAATGGAAACAGTATAGATAAGAAACTTTCTAGGACTCATTATAAATAACGTAACATATAAACAGAAAATATATTAAATAATTGTCGGACTTACCCCATTTCATAATATGTTGTCATTGTTTACGTTAAGATATGTTTCAGGAGCAGATAAGATTGATTGAGAAAAATAGTAGAAAGTGTGTGTTTATAAACCATAATACAGACTTTGCTAACCAGACACTTCTTTGTGGCTGAATATATAAATTTTGATACATCAAAAATAATTTTATGGAAAAAGTTTTTGTTTGACATGTTTCATCCTTTAGGACTTCATCAGTTGCTGCAACTACAGATGCACAGAGTTGGGGTGGCTGAAAATTTTTTTTTCTCAAATATATGCTGATTTAATTTATTTTCTTTGACTTTTTGTTTATCACTTTGTTATTAAATATCCTACATTATGATAACAGAAAATCTACCAAGAAAGGTGAAATGTAAGAACTTGGATGTAAGTTTACTGTGGATCATCTAACAAAGCACTTTCTATACATTTTTGTCTTAGTAAATTGCATTCATTTTTAATTAGAGTAACATTTTTTAAGTCAAAATTATGGTCAGACTTATTACAGTAACTAATGCACTGAGTGTGTTGTTTTATAAATGATCTCTTTTGTGTTCATATAATCTTTTATTTAAATTTATTGAGGTTTCCCAGTGGCAATCATTCAAATCTAATAACCATATAGCTTTTATCAAACCTGATCACTTTATACATTTCTATCATATAAAAGACTGGTGATAGAGTAAATTCCTCCTTCAGGATATTTAATAACAAAAGTGATAAAAACAAAGGAAAGGAAAACGGCTAGACTATATACCCAAAACATTTTTTTTTTTAATTATTTTAAATTCTCAGCATCCCCTTTACTTCATGCACATATGTAGTTGCATCAACATTAGAATTACTTTAGTCTGATGAAGTCTTAAAGGATGAAACATCACACAAAAACTTTTTCAATTTTGTCATAGTTTTCCTTAAAAAAAATATTAATATAATTTTAGAAAAGCAGGACTTTTCTACTGTTCTGGTAAAAAATTAAAAAAATCTTTTTAGAAGCTGGTACTTTTTATTGTACAAGGGATAATGCTGAAAGTAAAATACAAGAGGTTAAATTACTAGTATTTTATGAGAACAGGTGACATGGCATTGCTTAACATAGAAACCAAAAAAGCTAAAAAATATTAATTTTTATTGAAATGAAGTATTTTGCTGACAATAATAAATTTCTGTTGTAGGTAAACTGATAGGATTTCTATTGATCTTTAAAATGGTTTGGAATTTATTTTGATATTTATTAAAAGATTAAATTAAGATGTCAGTTGTAGGAAAAATAGAAAATCATTAAAATCAGCATTTATTTTCATATTTTTTAAAGAAATTATTTGGTTGAGAGTATATTTGATGACTTTTGTTTTATCTTTTCACCAGGAATTGTTCTTATTGGGGAAATTGGTGGCAATGCAGAAGAGAATGCTGCTAGTTACCTGAAAAAACACAATATGGTAAAGTTTTTTGTTTGCTACAATAAATTACCGTGACAAGATTTTCTTTGTGTGCATTTGGAGACTTTCATTTAAGTTATACTTAGAACTGTACCTAAATATATAAAAAATTAATTTTTAGCAATATTTATTGCATCCTCAACTCTTTACTTTTATTTATCTTAGTGAATTTTACAGTTTTCAAATTTGTTTAATTTTTATTTAGTTAAGCTAAGTTTAATATACAGAAACTTTCTTTTTGTGTGTGTGTGTGTATATATATATATATATATATGGGGGGGGGTACAAACACCTACAAATCCAAATAATGGATTTTCATTTTTAATCAAACATATTCTTATGACTTCAAATATTATTTCAACCTGCATCCCTCCTCTGTAGGAAATGTAGAATGTTGGTTCAAATCCTGCCAGAGAACTTATTTTGTTTAAGTTTTCTGGAAGGTGAAATAAATACTGTTGAAACAAAAAAAAAAAAAAACTGGGAATTCTACTCAAATACAGGTATCCACTAAACATAATGTTTGAAATTATATTATTTGGTCATTTTATAGATTTTATTCTTTTTAACTATTGATATTAAAATTTGTGTCATAGCGCAAAAAAAAAATGAAAATAATTGTTGAATTATAAAATCTGTTATCTATTCAAAAAAATATCAACCAGATTAGTTTACTTTGAAAGTTTTTGGCATATTTTCCTTTTTCCATTTAAATAAAGATTGTTTATAGAATTATATTTTAATACTTTGTAATTTATTGGAATAGTTGCTTGCATTTATTTTTTAACAAGTATTTCTTTCATCTTGATTTCATTTGCTTCTTAGTAAAACTGTAACCATCATTCTATAGTAAGCTAAGTAGATTGAAAATAAAAGATCAGCTTCAAGCAAATTTTGCAGAAGTTTCTTAACATAATGGCTGTCTTTTATATGATAGAAATGTATAAAGTGATCAGGTTTGATAAAAGCTATATGGTTATTAGATTTGAATGATTACCACTGGGAAGTCACCATAGTCTTTTTGATAGAAGAATTTTTATATGAAACAGACTTCTCCAGGAAAAGGAATGTCAGTTAATTCACTGGAGGATAATTCTTTATTTCTTATCCATGCTGCTGACTGAGAATTGCAATGAAAAGTAAAATGAAAAAAAAAATACCAGTTGAAAAATTAATAACTGTATCTCCTGACAGCTCATAAAAATTAGTTGCTTACAGTTTCCTGCAATTAGAAATTAATATTGCTCATTCTCTCGGCCTCGGAGGCTATCGTATCATGAATTAGTGGAGAGGGTCACAAAGGATCCTGTGTGTGACTGGCTTGGCATTGGAGTTGCACTCATTCTGGTCTTGGGTGCCAGCGGCAGATTATCTCAGCAACCCTGAGTTTTCACTTAGCCGGCAATTGATTCGGAACACACTACCTATCAATGACGTAACCTTCAGATGGGGTGAGGCAGTTTGTCATCAGTGTGACCTTGACTTAGAGGAAACTGCTTTACATGCCTTCTACAATTGTCCTCAGGTACAAACATTCTGGGATTATGTTGATGAGTTGACAGCTTGTATTACTCCCAATTGGCTTGTGTCCATCAATCTCACATATGCGTTGCCCCCATTCTCTGGGGTAAAACGGACGGTGTTTTTTATGTTGCTAGCTGTAGCAAGAATAGTGGTGTGAACATTGCGATAGGAAGGAATCTTGCAAGATGAACATTATTCACATCAGGATCTGGTTGTTTTCTTTAAACATCAGGTAAAAATCGGATCTGATAGAAAGAGTTTGATTTCAACAGATTCCTGCAAAAGGTGGGTGACTCAGGTGAGCCAGGTTTGTGTGGATGGGGCTAGCCTTGATTTTCTCTTTTAAGTCCCCTTGATGCAGCAGGGCGGTTTCCTTTAAACCCTCCCCTGGTTAAGTTAGACACTATTATGTTTTCCTAGTTAATGTGAATAAGTGTTGTTCCCGGCCTATTTTCAGCATTCTGTTTTATTATTGTCCATGTTGAGATTCCCAACTTCCTCAGTTTGTTTTTGTCTCGTTTTCATCTTGGCTGGGTCAGCCTTTGATTTCCCCATTCCATCATTTATTTTCATCCTCCCTATTCCATTAGTCAGTGTGCTTCTTGATTCTATTGGCAGGATACAGCAGCCTCTCTTATTATTTTGAAGGATGGATGGGTCCTACTAACATTTGGTTGATTTTATCGTTGTATTATATTTTTAGTTTGTTTTCTGGGTTCATCCCCTCCCCATCATTTCATGAATCATGAAATTTTTATATATTTTCAAAAAAAAAAAAAAAAAAAGACATTTTGGACATTCATCAAATTTTTATGTCATGGGGTGTTTTGTAGGTCCCCTGTGAATATGCGGTATTGTAGTATATGCAGGATTGAGAGGTGATGGATGAGTTCTTATGGTGAATGAGTAAATTGTAATGAATGAATGGGTCCTGAATCGGATTGACTAGGATATATAATGAAAACCAGTCCCTCCCTTTTTTTTCGCCTTTGGCTTTGTGCCACAATTTCTGGATAAGCATAAATAAATAATCTCTCTTAATTCTATATCAGATCCTATTATATCATTTCTCTTAATTTTGGATAGTTCTCAGTTAAAAAATACAGTTAATGAAATACAATATCATATCTATTTAATAATTTTTGTACGTGCATAAAATTTGTTACTATATATTTGGAAGAAGAGAATGTCATCAAATAAAAAGTGTAATAGATTTAAATTTAGAGAAAATTTTTTAAATTGTTTTAATATACACAGTAAAACAGTATATTTTTCTGGTTATAAATATTTGAATGCTCTTCAGATAGATTTATCATCTTGTAAGAGTTACATCTTTTTTTTATAAAAAATTATTTATTTTTATTTTTTAACATCAACTATGTTATTTTCCAGGGTCCCAATGCTAAACCTGTCGTATCTTTTATTGCTGGCCTGACTGCACCACCTGGTCGGCGTATGGGTCATGCTGGAGCTATTATTGCCGGAGGTAAGGGAGGTGCCAATGAAAAAATTGAAGCACTACGTGAGGCTGGAGTCCACGTTACACCTTCACCTGCCCAGATGGGATCTACTATGGTTAAGGTAGGATAAGTCAGTTATTCAAATATCAATAAATTTATGTAGAAAATTTTATTTAAAAAAAACAAAGCTTACTTAAAGAATTCTGATTTTTTTTTTTTTTATAATGATCTTGATTGCTGTTTTCACCTCTCAACTTCATAAACATCTTAGGATTATATAGTTAGAGCTATCTCCTTTTTATTGGTGACAACTATATACCAGTTAACTGATAAACATGTATTGACAATGAATGACATAACATATTTCATATTTGACTTTGTTTTATTTCACTTGAATGCTTTGCCAGATACTCTCGGCCAGTCTGTGATGCAACCCTATGGAGCCCCTGGTTCAATACGTGGACTTTACATTCTGTCTTCAATGACTGATTGACCACCCAACTCCACTCTGGAGCTGTTGTTTATATCTATTATGTATCTTGTCCCCACACTTGCAGAGGCAGCTATGAATTCACATGCTTCTGCATTGGTGGCTGGGTGTAAACCAAAGTCAATCCTGCACCTGGCCTCCTTGATAGTCTGGTGTGAACTGGAGTGCAATGTCTATTCTAGCATCATTGTACACAAATTATTTGGTGTATTGTATGACAAAAAATTAAATAAACTAAAATTGCTATTTGAATTATTTATTATTAAAGTTATAAATTCTTGAAATAGATTTGTGTTTTGACTTGTTCTCTTAAAAGCTATATATTTAGATATATAAAATAACTATTATGGTCAGCATGTTAAAATTTTTTTTTTTTTTTTCTTCTTCAAATGTTCATGGTTAATTTTACTTCAGACCTGACATTTTGGTAGTGTAAAATCCATGCCCTATTATCACTGCAATAAAGGCATATCTGTAAAATTTGTGATAATTTGTTAATGAAATAATTATCAGTAAAATTTGATTAGTGCTGTTTGCTTATGTATACATAAAAAATGAGGCCCTGTTGGCTGGAAATGTAGAATATGCCAACTGCAGCTGTGATGCCTGAGGACAGGATCTTGGTAGTTGAGGACTTCAGGAGTTAGGTAGAATACTCCTTAATTCTAACACACTACTTTGGCCCTTACTTGAGCTAGATGGGTGGTTGGAAGGGCTGGATCTGATCAACCAGCTGGTCATGTCAAGCTAAAAGTCAAACCAACAAAAAAAAACAATCACACCTAACTCCAAAACTTTGACTTAGTAAGCGGTGACTATAGGATCAATCAAATTATGGGTAAAGGAGTCCAACATGGCTGTTGTAAACACTGTGGAAAGCTCATATTTGGGTGGACATACCCAAATACAACAGGTGCTCAAATTCCTCCTCATATTTGAATATATCAATTATGTAACCCTGGAGGGAAGGGGAAAATGGGATTATCACCCTCATATGGGGCTCCAAGGTGGGTGGGAAACATGACTGATGAATAATTTAGAGTTATGGCTACAAAAAAAATTTAAAAAAGCAAGCAAAATTTTGCTGTTCTGAATCTAACTCAGAACATGATCTGACAAAAGAACACTTCTCTAAATTTGTAGTATTTTACACTTCTGTAAAATTGTAGTACAGAGAGGAGATGCCACTGACCAAATTGTCTCCCTTTATAATTTGGGTCATTTTATACATAACAGTCAAAAATCTAAAAAAAAAAATGGAACTATCCTTATAAAAGTAACAAGTAATAAACATGCTGAAATTCTTCTAAAAATGAAAAATTTCCATCAGCATAAGATAATTTTATATCCACATGATAGCTTAAACACCTCCAAAGGAGTGGTGCAAAATAAAGAACTAAATTTCTGCACCATAGCAGAAATAAAATGTGAACTAAAAAAACAAAATGTAATAGATGTACAAAGAATAAGTATAAGAAACAAGATCAAATAATAAATACAAATACATATGTCCTAACATTCAACAAACCAATACCACCAGTAGAAATAAGAATTGATTATTTCATAGCCAAGGTGGAAAAATATATTCTGAGTCCTTAGAAGATGTCATAATTGTCAGAGATATGTACATTTAAAAGAATATTGTAAAAGGAAACCAACTTGTCTCAGATGTGGAATATCTGAACCAGAATATGAAGAATCAACATTCAAGGACAATCTAAAATGCATCAAACTGCAATGGAAATCGTAAAGCAGACAAGAGAGTGCAAGATGTAGAAAGAAATTATAAAAAAAATCAAAATCACACAAAATATTACCTTTCCAGAAGCAAGAAAACTTTTAGAAACTGCTGCCAGTTCACCAACTTATACAAAAGTTAATACAAATTAAGACCAGGAAAACATATTCAGGAAAGTGGAAAAAATGGAAGAGTTGAAAACTCTAATAAGTGAATTACAGAGCTTGATGAAATGCCAAACTCACAAAAAAAATTAAAAAAAAAAAGGATTTAACATCAAGAACAAGAAGAAAAACAAAAGCCAACACAAAACCATCAAATTGAAACGAAGTACAGGTTTGAAAATATGGAAATTGATATAAGCTCTTCACCTGCAATACAAAACACTAAAATGAAATATAAAACCAATATTATTCAGTGGAACTGCAGAATACTTAAAGCTAACTATGAAGAAATCCAGAAACTTATAGCGGAAAGCCTACAAGAAAATGCTAAAGGAGAATAGTAATATTACGTTCAAAGGTTATCAAACCTATAATAATACTTCTACAATTAGTGCAAATAATAGGCCAACTGGTGGTACCTCAATACTGGTTAAGAATAACATCCCTCCACGAGGTGCTAAAACTACTGCTGTTAGGGCCACAATCATTTACAGTATGCCCAATATACATCCCTCCCCACCCAAAAATAAAAAACGTACTTTAAAACAAGTGGAAATAAACTTCTAGAACAACTAACCACCCCCTTTATACTATTGGGAGATTTTAATGTCCATAGTGTACTCTGGGACATTAATAAATCTAACTCCAATGGAAGTATTATAAAAAACCTAATTCAGAATTATAATCTGTCTTCTAAATCAGCAGGCTCCAACTACCGGGCTATGGACCATTTGTTATTGAGCCACACAGACAGAATAAAAACTTTTTTTCCAATTTTATTGACTACCATGGTCTTGTTTGTGACCCACACAACACACCAACCCCCCACTGGTCCATGTGAAAATTGTCTTGAATGACACCAGTGTATGGCAAAAAAACCTTGGGAGGCTGCTGTTCTAAATGACAAAACCAATACCTCCACTCACCCAGCCACTGAAACAATATCAGTTCTAGATTTAACAATATGCTCTCCTTCCTTGTTTCTGGATCTACAATGGAGACTATGATCAATGTGGATGTGATCAGTTCCCTATTTGCATAGACATTGTAAAACCAGAAGAAAGAACACCCACATAGCAGATTGGCGTAACTTAATATTTTGGCCAAACACAAATTAATGAAAAAAGTATTAGCTTTCACCAACACATTAATAAACATAGAACAAATGATTCCCAAAACATCTTGTCAGATATAAGCAAAGCATAAAGTTTGGCTTACAACCAAATCTAAAGAAGCTATAAAATATAGGAAAAATTGTGAAAATTTAAACTTAATCAAATATCACAATCTACAATAATATAAACAGGTCTGTGCAAGGGCATTGAATGAAAATACACCACGAAAGGAAATCTGGAATATGATAAAGATAAATGGTAAGTTGTCAACCACAAATATATATTTGATTAAACCAAAGAAAAATGTACAGAAAGAAAGAAATCTACTAGCAGATGAATTTGAATATAACTCATCAGCCAAAAATTACACCCCACCTTTTCAAAAATATAAACAATCTTGAAAAGCAAAAAATAAATTACACATAAGACAATATAGAAACTTATAATCCTTTCAGTATCACTGAAGTGTAAGACTCATTTAATAAATGCCATGATACAGAGCCAGACTAAATACACTTAGTTCAATTAGTTTTTAAAACACCTTTCTAAAACTTACCTAAAATAGTCATGGATATTCTTAATAATATATGGTATACAGGCAATCTGAAAGCCATATTAATACCAATACCAAAACAGGGAAAGAATATTACAAATCCAACTAACTATATTCCAATATCTCTAACTAGCTGCCTATGCAAAACTCTATAAAAGATGATTAGTAAAAGACTAAATTGGTATCTTGAAATTAACATACTACTTGCAAAATACCAAAGTGGTTTTAGAAAGCAAAGAAGTACAATAGATAATCTAACATGCCTTGAAACCTACATAAGAGAAGCCTTTGTAAAAAAAAAAAAATATGAATGCACAGTTGGCATTTTCTTTGATGTGGAAAAGGCATATGATACAACTTGGAGATATGTCATCATGAGAGCCCTTTTCAATATTGGTCTCAAAGGTAGACTCCCAAATTGTATTAAAAATTATCTCTCAGGAAGAACATTTAAAGTACTGGTTGGTTCCATCTCTGATGCTAAAATCCGGGAGGAAGGTTCCCACAGAGGCATATTGTCAATCACTTTGTTTAACATTAAAATAAACAGAATAATAAATTGTTTAAACCCAGAAGTAGATGGTTCCCAATATGTAGATGACTTCCTAGTATCTAAAAATACACACAATTTAAGTCAATGGGCCACAACAAACAGCTTTAAATTATCAGCAACCAAGATACAATGTGTTCATTTTTGCAACAAAAGGAAAATGCACAATGACCCTCTTAAAATTGGGGAAACATAAATTAGAAATGTCACTTTAAATACCTAGGGATCATTTTTGACAAAAAGTTAAATATATGTTCTAGACTATTGCTGCTTCATTTATGGAGCTATCAGAGAATCATATATAAAAATACTGGATTTCATCCATCAAGAAAGATTGAGACTCTCCCTGGGAGCTTTCAAAACATCTAAAAAAGCCTATGTGTTTAAAATTCAGAAGAGATAAGTTAGCCTTTCAATATTACACAAAACTTAAATCATGTCCAGACAATCCGGTATACAGCTGCACTTTTTAATGATAATTATAAGACTTTATTCAATCTGAAAGAAAAAGCAATAAAAGCCTTTGGCTTGCAAATGGAAATGAAAGTAGAAGTTTCCAAAATACCCACTACAAATATTTGCAAAACCACCATTGAACAACAAGGCACTTCAATCTAAATAAGAGCTCAAAGCAAAATACAAACCCAGTTGCTTTTCAAGAGAAACTACAACAATATCTAGAATATGTGCACATCTATACTGATGGTTCCAAAGACAGTGATAGAGTAAGATGTGCAGTTATTTTTAATAATGCAACATATATAAATGAAGCCTCCATATTTAGTGCAGAAACCAGAGTGATGTGATCACCATAGAAAAATCTTCAAAATTTATCATCTTTTCTGATTCCATATCAGTAATATCTATCAAAAACAAAAAGCTGGAAAACATTTTGGTAGCTAAAATATTAGAAAAAAAATCCATGCCATCTCTACTTTCTACAAAATTCTGTTCATTTGGATTCCTATCCATGTAGGAATTAAGGGAAATGATACAGCAGATGAAAGTGCTAAACAGGCATTAAGACTAGTTACTGAAAATTAAGAAACACATGTAAATTTAATGGCAAGAATAATAAAGCAGTAAAATGCAAAATAAACTAAATACAATCTTACTAACCCTCAGGAAAAAAAGTCTGTCATTATGGAAAATCCCAAAGAGAAGAGATTACTATAATGTGATTAAAATTACTTTCTTACTGACATGGTGTCCTACATGCCAAACTGTTATACTAGAACATACCTATTCTATTATTAATAGACTCTCCCACATATAATAAGTAGTAGTAGTAGCAGTCGCCAGAGGGAGCTCAGTGAGTTGGTCGAGTCAGTCGATGTTGGACATTAAAGTATCAACCACCACAACTAGATTGCTGCGTCATTAACTATTATAATAAGTTCCTAACATTTTGTACGTCGAACCTTTTTAGGACTAACTTAGTGAAATACAAGCCTCCACTGAAACTACTCTACAACACATTGGCAACGAGGGATTCGTTCTCATATGGAGGAAGAAATAATTTTCATTCACTCTACAATAACTTTGGCGACCAGGATTCGAAACTCAAACGGAGGAAACAAAAAAACAAATTTGTTCGCCATATACAACACTTGGCGATGAACGTATTTGGATTCATACAGAGGAAGAAAAATTTTCGTTCACTCTACAACACTTGACGACGTGGATTCGTAACTCATACGGAAAAAAAAAAAAATTCACCCGCCATAACAAACTTGGCGTACAAGGAAATTTGGATTCATACAGTGAAAGAAAAAAAAAATTCACTCGCGTTATTTGGTGACGAAATTCGTTCTTATACAGAGGAAAAAGAAAAAAAAAAACTTGCTCGTCAAATTTTCGGCAGCCACATCTTGGATTCACATTTAAAAAAAAAAAAAAAAATCTGGCAAAGTTTTTCGAAAGACAAGACGTCAACTTAGTGACAAAAAAATCAATCCTATTCTCAACTGAGAAAAGAATTTTTTCTTTTCTCGATAAGACAGTTTGCTGAAATAGGTCACGAATTGCAAATTCGTTTTGGACCCCCCTCTACAATATTTAAGCATTGTGTAAACTTTTTGCGAAGATGGAGGAATGCAAAAATATATTCCAGGAATTTTTTAAGTTCCAGATGGAACAACAGATGACAATATTAGAGCAACAGAAAACATTCCAGATGCAACTACAGGAGGAAACTTTTAATAGATGCAGTTTCAACGAGAAATGGAACAGATGCATAAGGAGTTTCAAAACAAAATTCTGGAAATAACTGAGAAGAGGAAAGAGAAAAATCTACAAAATGATTCTTTCCCAGAGAATACAAAATAGAATTCAATTGAAATATTCACGTACAGTCTGGATGAAGAGATAACTTTTGAAGAGTATTATAAAAAATATACAGACGTGTATAACGAGGACTGCCACACGTGGTCTGAAGGAAAGAAGGTTAGACTTCTTTTAAGCAAGTTAGGAACTGCTGAGCATAACAAATTGGTAAACTACATTTTACCGAAAAAAAACTAGCAAGTTGACTTCTACCGAGGTGGTAAATATATTAAGTGAATTATTTAGTAAAAAGACATCTTTGTTTCACAAGAGATGGAAATGTTTGAATCTGATGAAGGATGAAGAACAAGACTATATAACGTACGCAGCCAATGTGAATAAGCATTGTGAAGAATTCAAGCTAGCAGAGTTAAGCACTGACAACTTTAAGTGCTTAGTGTTTGTTCAAGGGCTGGTATTGGAAAGAGACGCAGAATTGAGGAAATTGGTATTATCAAAATTGGAAAACGAACCAACAATTTCGGTACAGAGTTTGGCAGAAGACTGCACAAGATATGTTAGCGAAAGAAAGATTTGAAAAAAGATAGAACAGTCTGGCGTTTTTTGATGTAAGGAAAAAAATATGCTACAAAAAAAAAATCAGTCTCCCAAAAGAATTCTAAAATTGCGGATTATCAAACAAAAAGTGAAATACCAGAGAAAAATAAACAAAAACTCCCCGGCCATGTTTTGCTTATGTGAACTTCACTGGTACAAATATTGCAATTTTAGGAATAAAAAATGTTTCAACTGTAAAAGAGTGGGTCATAAAAAGCTCGCACTGCAGGTCAAAAAAATAAAGACAATAAAATAAGAAAATTAAAGTCCAACAAGGTGAAATTATGGAATAACCAGAAAATTTGTTACTGTTGAAATAAGTAATAAAAAAATAAAAATGCAACTCGACACTGGTTCCGACCTATCTATCATAAATTTGCATACATGGAAGAAGTTGGGGAAACCAACTTTAATGAAAACAAATAAAATCGCGAGGTCAGTGACAGGAGAAAAAATACAATTTATTGGCAAATTTGTTACAAACGTCACGTTAAATAAAAAAACGCGAAAAGCTAAACTATTTGTCATAGAAAATACCACAAACTTACTTGGTACAAATTGGATAACAGAATTTCAATTATGGGATTTACCGATAAATTCTTTCTGTTACAAGGTAGATTTTTTAAACTACGAAGCCCAAAAATTAGTAAAGAAACTTAACGGAACTTTTCCTACTGTTTTTTCTCCAGGTTTGGGAACGTGTACCAAGATGGAGGCAAAATTACAGCCAAAACAAAACTCTCAGGCAGTATTCAAAAAGAAAAGGAATGTGCTGTTTGCTTCAATTGAACAGATAGATAAAGAATTGGACAGATTAGAGAAACTGGTGTATTTAAAAAAGTTGAATGGGTAACACCGATGATATATGTGAAAAACCAGCCGATTAAATGATTTAGAAAAACTGGGGAACGAAAAACACCCGATCAGCCATGGACATGCAGTATTATTAAATGATTTAAGTCAACAAGAAGAACCTACAGAAACTGAGTCCATCTTTAAGAAGCGCAAAGTGGAAGGTTGTTTCTGGTAACACTATGGAGGTATAAAAAAAAAAAAATAGAAAAGCGGATTGGCTATATTATGTACTTGGTGAAAGGGGAAAAACACACAAGATCAGACGACGTTTTTCAGATGTGGTTGATAGCTGTCCCGCGAAAAAAAAAAAACGCCGATGGAGGTGATTTTCAATGTTTGATCTAACAACCCCTGCAAATAATTTTACCTAAAGTATGCCGATCCAGAAGAAAAAAAGAAAGGCAACTGATCATTTAAACGTGGATCAAAAAATGTAGGAAATATGGTACGATGTTGCTTAAAAAAAAAAAAAAATTTTAAGGGGGGGGGTGTTATACTAGAACATACCTATTCTATTATTAATAGACTCTCCCACGTATAATAAGTAGTAGTAGTAGCGGTTGCCAGAGGGAGCTCAGTGAGTTGGTCGAGTCAGTCGATGTCGGACATTAAAGTATCAACCACCACAACTAGATTGCTGCATCATTAACTATTATAACAAGTTCCTAACTTTTTGTACGTCAAACCTTTTTAGGACCGACTTAGTGAAATACAAACCTCCACTGTGAAACTACTCTACAACACAAACCCAATATACTGTAAAACATTTTCTAATTAAATGCATTGATCTTGACTCCAAAAGACAATATCTTCAAGGCAAACAGCCTAAAAGAACTATTTGAAATTATTAAAATAAATAAAATTATAATAATCCTGAAATCAGTTGGATTATATTTGAGAATATAAAAAAAAACATTGTTGATTTTCTCTAAATATAAACCAAAATAAATCAGTTTTGATATAAAATAACTCTAAAGAGTTGATATGCCACTCAAAATCCACTTAAACATACGATATGAGAAGGAAATTGTGTTTTGTACAAATTTTTCAGGATCAAATTTATAGAGATTTTCTACTGAGATGTTTATCATATCAGAATTTTGTAATTTTCTTTTCTTTTCTTTTTTCCAGGCAATGCAAAGTCACCTTTGATGTTGAGCATTCTTATAAGTAAAACACTCATCACTATCAACAACCAATTAGCCACATTGACTGCTGTTGATGTTTCTAAACTCAAACAGCCAGTTATTGTTGATCCAGCATTTTGTGGTTGATTATGTCCTTTGACTCTACATGACAATAGATGATGGTCATGATTTTACAATCAACTTATTTCTTAATTCTCCCTTAATACAACATTTTAAAGAACATAATAAATTGATTAAATAATTTTATTTAATTTTATATTTCTTTTTTGTTGTGTTTTTTTTTTCTCATAGAGGAATGAAATAACTTTAGGCAAGCTGAAAAGAGGCAGGATATTTTTTCTTTATATAAAACAACACTTTCAATGAAGCTTAATCACGCTTGACAGTTTGTCTAACTTGATGCAACAACTGCTATTGGAAACGAGACATTTAGTTTCCCACAAGAATCTTTTTTTCATTTATTGAGAATGTTGTCTTTGCTGCATTTTTCTCACTGTCTAGTATCATTATCTACCTGCTTGAAATTCAGTTACATTAATTTTTGTTAAGTTTACAAAATTTAAAACCATTTTTATTTATTTATTATCTGATTCATCTGCATTGGAAAGTCATATAGAGTTAAACACATATCTGTAGTGGCGGATTTTGTGGCTAATGGTCTTTCAAGAGGCTGTTGCCATCAGCTTAAAAATAGTTCTATTAACAAGTTTTTATGTGAATCATAGCATAGATGACTCTTTTGAGAATAAATAAAATATTCAGTAAATATAATTGTTTTATTTCATTCTGTCTTCTTTCTGAAAATTAATGTTTTTAAAGATATTCTTTTAACAATTTGTGGTGGAATTTTTTGTGCATACTTGAATCAATGTAATTTGCAGCAGATAAGTAAAAATAAAACATGATAAAGATATAAATGAAAAATGCTTATCTTGACAACTCTGAGACAAAATATTCAAGCATAAAATTTAGATTCTGAAATAAAACTTCTTTTTTTTTTTCATGCTGAAATCTTAGTAACATTGGATTTTCATAATTTGGAATTGGTTTATTGTTTTTGATAATATATACATCCATGAGATGACAAAGATGATTTTTACAAACTGCCTTCAAAGCAAATTGGTTTAATATATAAACTAAATTAAATTTGATATCATCTATAGGGAAAACAATGAAAATTAATCACCTAACCAAATGTCTGGCTAATAATTAAAAAAAAGTGATTTAACAAATATAAAAAATTATGAAAATACTTTCAATCTGGATTTCTTTCAATGAAAACTAACAAAGTACTTTAATAAACTTGAATATTTTTGAGTAAGTGTTAGAGAGGGTTGAAATAAAGAGTAAATTTTAAATGATTTAATAACCTTGAGGTAAGTGGTGTTGGTGCAATGGTACAAAATGAAATCAAAATGTTCAAATTTCTGCTGTGGTGGTTTGTTTTCACTTTGTACTAATGCCTTTGGGAAAGGCAAACACATTTCTCCTATGGGTATGTTTTGAAGAAGTTTGCCTTGGTTGTTGTTATTTTTATGCTTATTGTTGTGGTTGCTTTTATTTTTTTGTTCTACTGAGCACTACATACAACTGTCCATGAGCATATACTGGGGTTGGTAAATAGACACCAACATGAAAATAGAATTGAGCTTGCAACTTGTTAATAGAATTACATAGAGTGTGACATGAAAGATATAAATAAATAAATACACAATGGTAATTATTATATAGCAATGAGTATTAAAATGACCAAAGGAAATAACCACTGATAAGTTTACTATCTTAAGTTGATTTACCTCATTTCCTACTATAAAGTGTGACATAAAAGATATAAATATAATATAAATACAATGATAATTATTATATAGTGTTGATACTTAAATGTCTCTTTTTTGGTACGGGGTCTTGGTTACTAATGGCAATAGTTAACATTTTGTTTCTAAGTCATGCACCTACAAGATTATAGGATTTGTAGATGATATTATACAGTCATCAGAAGACTCCACCATATACAGATGGGACAATTCAGTGATATAGAAAATTGTTAAACACACACTCACACACACACAAATATATGCATATTTTCATGAATAGATTTAAAATGAAGACTCATAATCATAATAATAGTAAAGAGTAAATTTAGACAAAATATTCAAATATACACACACATATACTTGCAATTTGTATTAATTTGATGATTCTAGCTTTTTTGTCATTTTTTTTTTCAGTTTGGATTACAAAAAAAAATTTCAATGTATTTTTGTAAAATAAAAATACATGTTGAGCATATGTGGTTTTAAATTTCAAGAAAACTAGAAATTTAATTAAAAAAAATAGCACAAGTAATCATGGCTCTCTACAACTTCCTATCCTTTGTAGTTCTTAGCAATGTTTGTTTCCTTACCTCCAAAATAGATGTGATTTTTTCAAAATGAAAGCAAAAAAAATGATATCTCTATGTTTAAAAAATTAGCAAAAAAATCAAATAATTATCTGATTTAAATGAAATTTTCAGTACTTCTTCATTAAAATGAATGAATTGTAAACTGAATAGGTTATTTTATTAGAAAACTTTATAGAAATAACTTTGGAGTGAGTCAGTTATCCAACCCCCATTTTAAAGCTACAATGAATATTTATATTTTATAAATTTACTTGTAATTTTTCCATTTGCTAATGACAAAAGAGATCTTTCTTTTATTAAATAAAGATGTATTTGAAGAATTGAAAAAATATAAAATTTAATGCTATTTTTTTATCAAAAACCTTTTATAAGTTTTTGTGGTTAAAGAGAAAAATAAAATTATCTGCCCTTGTTTATCATCAGGAGGGAGCATTCATTTTTTATGCCATCTTAAAAAAGCCTTGTGATTCAGAAACTACAAAAAAAAAAGTGACTTACCTGTAGAACCTTTGTCATTCAGAATTAACCCCCACTAAGGATTTTTGCTAGACACTCAACTGCTGAGTGTCATGTGGAAGAGAAGACTCTTGCTTAATTTAAACTACAAACTATTTTGGCACAGAGAGGCAAAGAATGGCAGGCAAGATGAAATGAAGCACTGAGATGTTGAAACACTTTTGTGGTGAGAAAGATATTGCTTGGCTCAGTAAAATGAAACTAGTGGCAAGGTTTTGAGAAATCACAGATATTACCTCTTTTATACCATTCTATCTTGAAGGTGATGCCATTGCATTATACCTTGAGATGATTGAGGAAAAACAGTATGGTGCAGATATAGAGCTGAGATTGAAGGAGGTGTTCATGGAAGGTCCATTTGTTCATATGCCAAATTAAGTGGTGTGGTGAATCGATTGATGTATATACCAACAATACCAGGAGAATGGCAGGGTTTAATGAAAGTGGCCTTGAAAAGATTAAAAATGGCCTTTACAAATGGCTTTCCAAATCACATATCTATAGCCCTGAAACAGATGTCTGGTATAAACATTATGAAGATGGGCAAACTGATAACCAGAGTATTGGCCAGCGAGAAGGAGCACATGCAAGGGACAACAGCTGCCGTAGAGAGAAGCAGCAAATAGTCACAAGTTGCAAAAGAGGAGGAGAAAGGACTGAAGAGGCAAAATCTGAAATTGCGATGTTTCGGATGTCAGAGGAGCCTGATATTACCTGCTGCTGTTGAGGACAAGTGAGCCATATCTCTGGGAAAAGAGCAAAGGAGAGCTACATTGCCGGTGGCTATCCACTGTACACAATAAAAGCAACCATGGCTGCATTACCACAGGTATCTAACACTTTCGCCCCAACCCCTCAACCTCCGACGTCTTACTCTCTGGGTTGAGGTGTCTACTCGGTCTTAACTGAATTTAAAGGAGTGGCTGTAGGTCCTTTGAGCATCCGTAGATCATTCGACTGGTCCACTGGTTTAATCCAGCTTCCTGCCCACGTGTTTGGTTTGATCCAGAAAGCAGAAGTGATATTCGTCCATTCACAGTCGACTGAAGATGTAGACACAGCTGGAGAATCTGTGCTAAGAAATTTAGAATGCACCAAAAAAAATATATCTGCGGAAAACCGGACAAACAACTATTCAATGGTTAAATTGTTAATGTCTTTTATATAGCAGAATAGAATAGTATACAAAAAGAAACGGGTTACCAAAAAGAAAAGTAATTGACGTAAAAAAAAAAAAAACTCATACACTGGATTGTAGACAGAGAGAAAGTGGGTTGTGATTAGCTTGTTGTGAAATCGTCTCAGAACGATATACGACTCTTGCGATGGAGAGTTAAAGATTTCTGTGTGCGGCTTAAAGTTTATAGTTCCATTCCTCCTTGGCAGTAGTAACAGTAGTAGTAATCTTTGTGCTAGCAGAAACAGCGGTACTTATATTAACAGTGCATGTTAGCGGGGGTTTTGTTCCAATCCCTGATGTCACTTTCAATCTCCGATATCTCTCCACCCAGCTCGACTGCACTCGACGACAGACAAACCCAAAAACAACCTTTTGATTATTGTAGCTTGTTCAACGTTTTTGTTTCCAGTGGTAGTAATAATAGTAGCAGTAGCAGTCTTAGATGTTGGAGGAGTAATTCGCTTCTCCATACTTAGATCAACAAAATATGTTAGTAGGTGTTTGGCTCCAATCTCTGACGTCACTTTCAATCTCCGACCTCTCTCCACCCAGCTCGACTGCACTAGACAACAGATGAGCCAAAACCAACCTCTCTGTCTCTCCTGTAGCACCGTGACTCATAACTGTATCTGCGGGTGCCCACACACGTGACGGCACGCACAGCGACGACAACGTGCCGACCAATCGCAGCCTCTCCCGTCTGCTTCTTCCATCTGCCACCTTTTCAGCATAACTACGCATTTATATAGATAAATCTGGCTTATCATAATCGACCCTTGGCTCGCACGCGATTATCACGGGTGCTCCTTTCAACCCCAAATCATGTGAATTTCAAAGTTCCTCATAGCTTAGTAAGCTCTATTTCAAATTTTAACCGATAAAAATTATTTCGATCATTTTCCAT